TGGCCTCTGAAGTCACCTTGCTTAGATTCCACATGGGACTATGTCAAAGGCTTGCAAATAGACAGTCCAAGAGAATATATATGAGGGGGATTTTTCATTCAGCTCTCCATCTTTAAATTCAGTGTTTAACTTCACTATCCCATAGAGGCTTTAAATATGCTAGTCATCTAAAAATTTTACATAAAGAAGGGAAGAATCATCCATACACAGGAATTTCCACCACTTTCCTCAGCTTATTTTCCCATTTGCTTTCCTTCTCACATTTGCTGATATAGAAAATCTTGCTTTTCTCACACAGAAAATCCACTGCTTCTTTATTCTTCCCATTCCTCAAAGGATTTTGGTTTTGCTACAGTGTTTGGAATGAACAAAAATCACATGGAAGTGTGCCATGTAGACTTGTTACTATATTTCAACAGATGGTATGCAGTATTGATCTGAATGCCTGCACAAAAAGAAGCTGTGTCCATATCCTTGCAGGGGTCTTTTTCCTGAGGTCCTGGGAAATACAACAAAGTAGCACTTGATGTAATTTTTTCTATTGTTCCTAGTTCTGCTATACACATGTAAAACTAAGCAAACAACATTCTCATTTTGAATGTGTTAATCACTCCCACAGTTTGAGAACAATGAAGAATTAGATTAACTTGTATCTGTAGGTGCCCACGTTGGTCGGCATAAAACACACACACACACACTTTGCACAGATGTGGGAAAGTCAGGTACCCTTTCTTTCTCTCATTGTATGTTGTGACTATCTCCAGTGGAAGCTGGTGTAATGAGGATCACATATCATGATTGTCAGATAGAACATAGTAGCAATTACCCAAGACAGCAGCAATTGTGACCACTCTCTGTTCAAGGGAACAATTTATAGAAGTGGCTCATGAGCTGACAAGATCAGGAGTTACCAAAGCTGATGATTAAAAGTTTTGACTAAATCTGCTATCAGCAGTGTTACAGAACTGTAAAGCTGAGGAGGGAGAAGCCTGCAACTGAACATTTGGACTAAAATGCTCGGCCCTTTCCAGTTTTACCTGCAGCATAGCACCAGCCATTTTCAGTGAATACTCATCTGCAGAACACTTCTGTAGTCAAAAGTAGTTGAGGAAATTAAATTTGTCACAAAACCCTACCCAGCCACAGAAGTATTTGTTTGGGAAGTGGTCAGTAGTTTCTTTCAAATTGTTTGGATGGTCTATGACCCATCTAGCTAGGAAACAGCAGCAACAGCAATTTTGTTGTTGGCCACCTATTATATATCACATGTATATATATATATATATGTGTGTGTCACTATATATAATTTGTGATTAACAAACTACAGATTAACAGGAATAATAAGTATGATGTGCAAAGTTCTCAGTCTCAAATATGCCAGCAGCACTGAAAAATTTTGAATAAATTTTATAGGGACATAAATCAACTTAAGGGCAGTTCTTAAACATGGAAAGCAGCTACAATGATTTTTATATTCTTTGCTGTATAGAAATAATCAAATTCTTCTTCCAAGGGACATGAAAAGCCCTGCAGGTCATAGGTGCCAGATGAGATGGTGAGGAATACATTCAGTGCAGGCAGCACAGTACGCAAGCTGCAGATTGAGCTCTGGGGGGCAGGAGCCGAGGTAAGAGGCCATGAACTGAACCCTTTTGCACAAAAATGGGCACAGAGACCTGTGTCCCAGCCAGGTGACCAGACAGAGAGAGACACAGCAGAAGCTGAGGACTCAGCAGGAAGAGCCCAGACTTTCATGTGCAGAGACTGTGAAGGCAGGGGTTACTTTATTTGGTATCCCTTCCTGGAGGCACTCAGCTTGAGTTGTTCTAGCATTACTGCATCATGAATAAATTGCTTTAGGGATGCAAGAGAAATACAGCCAATAACAACATCTGATCTGAGAGTGTGACTGTGGTGGGTGTGTGTAGGGAGCCAAGCAGGGCATCCATGGGCTTACCACAGCCACCCACTGAGATGGGGCTTCAATCCCAGCAGTGAAGTGTGACTACCAGAGTGCCCTCTGAACAGTCAGACAGGAAAGTTTCCTTACACGTGAGTCATTATAAAATAAGGTAGTAGAAGTGATGTACCACACAACCTTGAAAAATGCCAGGGGTCTCATGGGCTAACCCAAGCAATCTGTCCAGCCCTTACACTATGTGACACTATGCTAGCTTGTTGTACCTCTTATCTCAGTGTGACCTGAAAGGAAAAACACATCATCAAGAGGCAGGAAGAAGAATTTGGAAGGAGAAAAGAATGAAAGTTCTGTCTTTCTCCATTTATTTATTTATTATTCTAAGGGTGGTATAAGACCTGATTGAATTCCTGTCTGGGTGTGTATCTTAGTTAATGTGTCAACAAGCATTTGGAATATCAACTCTCCATTCAACCTGCTCAATCTGACTGCAAGAATTCAGTGTGCTTTGAATAAAAGCAAGACTGACTAACCAAATGATTGCAAAGATGGAAGGAGTGGATGAGTGCTTTGAGCAACTAAGTCCAGTTTCAGTCATTGATGTTGACATTATTATATGATGAATCTTAAAGTGAGATTTTTTTTTCCTCTCCTTACTTTTCCTTCTAGAATATGGGTCCATACTCTCCACCTTAAGAAATATTTCCTTTTGGCAACTGCAACTAAATTATGGCTGATTCATCCCAAATCGTTTTATCGTAAATACATCATTTGGCTTAACTAGTTCTTCAGTTTCCAGCAGTGTCCTCTGGGACATGCATATAGGAGAGAACCACCCTCTCCAGCCCCATTCAAGACATCATTTTACATTCCTAACTAAGCAAAATTATTTTGACTTCTTGAAGTTAAAGATGCTTTCCCAAACATCCTTTCCCACCACTGAGATCCCAGCACAGACTCATGCTATTAGCCCTAAGACATGTCTTTAGCCTGCTGTACCCATTTCTACCCCTGTTGTCCTCAATATCACACCATGTCAGTATACAAGATTCTGATACTACCATATGCCACAGATGATTCCTATATGTGTCAGTCAATTCAATTTTCATGCTCCTGTTTTTTATGCCAAGGTCTTTATTAGAAATAGTAAACAAACTTTTTCCAGAGAGTCCTTGAGTAAATTGTTTAGTAACCTCTTTCAGCTTGATCATTTGCCTCACAGCATGATTCATTGTCATCTCTCATTTAGAGAGCTCCTTACCACATCTCAGTTCCTGTAATAATCTCCATCTTTACTGTTTTAGCTGATAATTTCCCATGTGACACTGTATCGGATACTTTGCTCAAGGTCAGATAGATTTGATCTACTGCTTTTGTCTACAGAATCACAGCTTTCTTTTTTCTTTTTTTTTTCTAGAAACGTAAATGAAGATTCCTATCAATCTTTGATTAGACAGGCATCAGGATAGCCTGACACAGTGTGCCTCTGACCAAGCCTTACTACATTTTATTCCCCTTTCTATTTATCTGCAGAGTTTTAATTAGTGTTTCTTCCAAAGTTTCCTACATAATCCCTGCACACAAGTAAGGTCAGTAAAGCTTAAAAGCCATAAGGAGATATCTTAAGTTCCCCAGAAGATAATGTGATAATTAAGACAAAGTGATAATATGTGCTTGATGCATCTGTGGATGGCAGGGGGAGGCAGAAGAACCAAGTAATTTAACCTCTAACCAAAGTTATGCATATTCTCTCTGCCTTTCTTCTACAAAATCAGGGAATGACATGATCCAGTACAAAGTGGAAAAGCAAGAGCAAGTAGAATTAAATTATTAAGCTATACCTGTACCAGCTCAAATCAGCAGTCCCTCTCCTGCAGGGCTGTCTCCATCAGGGTGCCATAGCAGGTACCTAGAGAAGAGGACAGAAACAAGAAAAGCCTACAGTTTTGCTTTCCCACTAGTTACTCCCAGCTCCACAGTTTTGTAGTTAATGGATCATTGAGAAAAAGGCATTATCTATCTGTTAAATAGTTCTTACTGTACTGCATTGCTTTCCTCAAATCAATGTAAGCTTCTAGCATTTACAATGTCTATGAAAATCTTGTTTATTTTGAGTTCATTACCAACTGCTTCTCCTCAATGCTCTGTAGTTCTTTCACCAGGAGAAACACTGAACCATCACACCTCATCATCTTCTCCACTCCACGATACAATTCCTCTGGTTTGCCCCTTAGCTCTGCTTTCTGGAGCTGAGCAGCCATACCCATGGAGGTATTACCTGGGCATAAGCCATTGAACACCTTCAAACACCTTTGCTCCCCTCTTGTCTTTTCTCTGCCTCTTCAGTGTCCATCCTACCTTTGCCCAAAGCAGTTGGGCCATCCCCAGAAGAGGAAGAAAGTTTAAGATCTTTCAAGATGAAGGCAGATCCATACAGAGATTATTCTGGGAGGTATTGAAAAACACCTGAAAAATAGTGCATTCATTGGTCACAGCCAGCATGTCTCACTTTGCTCTGCACTGGTGTGGCTTCACCTCAGGTCCTGTGTGCAGTTTTGGGCACCACAATATAAGAAAGATAAAAAGCTGTTAGTGTCCAAAGCAGAGCTGTAAGATGGTGAAGGGCCTTGAGGAGAAGCTGTATGAGAACAGCTGAGGTCACTTGGTCTATTCAGCCTGGAGAAGAGGAGACTGAGGGGAGACCTCATTGCTGTTACAACTTCCTCACGAGGGGAAGGAGAGGGGCAGACAGACACTGATCTCTTCTCTAGGGTTCCCAGTGACAGGACTTGAGGGAATAGCCTAAAGTTGTGTCAGGGGAGGTTTAGGCTGGATATTGAGAAAAGTTTCTTCACCCAGAGGGTGCTTTGTAGGATTTGTAATTTTCTCTTCTTTCCCCCCTCACTCCCCTTTCCCCCTGCGGTCCTTTGTCCCGACCCCCGTGTCCCCTGCCCCCCCCCCCCACCCCCCCGCGTCTTTCCCATCGCGGTCCCCAGGGTTTCCCTGCCCCTGTCCCCTGCCTCCCGTCCCATTGGCTGTGGCTCAGGTTCCCCCCCGCCCCCGGCACGGAATATAACCGAGAGCCCCGCTCACTCCCCCGGGGTCTCAGGAACACGGTCCCACAATAAGCACGTGTTTGCACCCGAGCCCCGTGTCGCCATTTCGTCTGTTCCCGCGTGGACTGAGCCTCGCAGAGACGAGGGGAAAGCGGCCGCCGTCTCCCCCCCCCCCCACCCCCGCCGTGCGTGCCCACAGGCGTCCCCCTGGAGCCGATCTTGCACGGCAACAAATGGTAGCAGAGGACGGTTATTTCCATCGATTTGTGAAAGGGGGGAGAGAGAAAGGAACTCTGCTGCCGCAAGAGCTCTGCAGACTCTAAGAGGAGTGGATTGACCGGGCGGAAAACAAACTCGAAGCTCCGGGACCCTCTTCGGTCCTCGCCGGCATGCTCTCTAACCCGCCCGAGAGCAGCCGCGCTGCGGGGGCAGCCAGACTGCAGAGGCCGGGAGCGGGGTAGACTTACCCGAGGACAAAGAGGACAGTTTGGCAGTGGCTTGATGGACTGAGCTTGAAGAGTGGCCCGTCAGGGGGACGGCATTTGAATGGGGACCTGAGGTTGATAGTGGCCGAACCCAGGGTTTCAAGGGCGAGCTCTGGTTAACGGGAACACCCAGACTTCTGGGAGAAGCCAAACCGCGAAATAATACGTTCTCAGTTTAGTGTGATTTTCCACCACCGAGGAGAGAGATAGAGATTTCCCCGTCTGAGCCCAGAGGGTAAGTTGGGTCAGAGCAGGGTGGGGACCCTGGCGGGCAGCTGAGCTACCTTTTTTTCTTTTCTGCGTTTTAACCACCGTCTGCGTCCATACGGGGGCTGTAGGCTTGCATGCCCCTGGCGGCCGGGAGGCGTTTTCTTTTCCGAGGAGGACGCAACCTCGCTCGGTCTTTTTGGGGTAACTCATACTGGAAAGCTCCTTCTCTTTCTCGGAAAGCTGCCTTTTCTATTGTCTCCTCCCTATTCTGGGCTGTGGGGGCAGGGGGGGTCGAAAGGACACCAATGGGACAGAATTGTAAACGGCGACACATCAGCTATGGGAGAATTTTTAACATCTCAAGAGAGGCCCTCCACATCCACGCATTTCGTCAGCTTCCAGCCGCGTCGGGCCCCTCTCCTATAGATTTTCCCCTCAGCTTCTGTGAAGCTTTCCCTCCCCTTTTCCCCACAGACTTCCCCAAACCTTCTCCTTTGGGGATGGCAGCGGCCGAGCCACCCCAAGCGCCCTGCCGGACGCTGTTATCCTCCCTTAGGGTGACATTGGCCGTGCCTCCCCAGGCGAGATGCAGTGCACCTGGCAACCCCTCCCAAGATGGCGCTGGCCAAGCTACAGGGACCCCATTTTTCCGCCTTGATCCTTCTCTTCCGCCCACGTTTTCGCGCCCACCCCACCCTTCCCCCAATGGCACTGCACCATCCTGCAGCGAGCCAGCCCCTGTTGGGGGGAGGTGAGGTTGGATTAATCCCTCAGTCCTTCTTTTGGCTCCCCCTCTGATGGGAGGTATCGCCGGAGGGGTCCCTCCGTTAGAGGACCTCCCTTTGTAAGAGAGCTTTCCCCTTTGCTGTGGGGGGGGCCCCTTCGAAGGGAGTGGAGCTGGAAACCTGTACCGGGGCTCCACTGTTTTCCTTCCCCTGAAACAGTGGCGCCCAGGTTCACCCCTTTATCCCATCTCCTAAATGTACCTTGCCATAAATTCCCTTGTTATTTCAATACAAGTTTTCCCCCATTGCTTGTGATAATTTGGAAATAACTTCTTGGATTGAGTTATATCTTATAGAAGGAAAGATCATCCTCTCTAATTACTACCCACAATGCGATGCCAACTTCGCAATCAAATTGGAGAAACCACATCGCTGTTTGCTGCCTGCTTGTGCTCTGCTAGTATTTGGAAACCACAAGCACCGCGTCATGAATCCTGCTTTCATCCTCGATACAGAATGTGTTTATGATAATTTTGTACCCTTTATCTTAAATTGTAATGTGGAAAAGATTTTTGCCCCATTCATTGTAACTATGATTGGTGTAACACTTTCTGATCTCTCGAATTTGTAACATTGCTAATTTTGTTTTTACCTCAGAACTCCCTTTTCTTTATGTAATTTCAAAAGAGTGAGCTGTAGGATTTGTAATTTTCTCTTCTCCCCCCCTTCACTCCCCCCTCCCCCCGCGGTCCCTTGTCCCGACCCTTTGTTCCCTTATCTCTCCCCCTCACCATGCAGTCCGGTCCCTGTCCCCTGCCCCCCCCCCACCCCCCCCCGCGGCTTTCCCATCGCGGTCCCCGGGGTTTCCCTGCCCCTGTCCCCTGCCCCTGTCCCCTGCCTCCCGTCCCATTGGCTGTGGCTCAGGTTTCCCCCGCCCCCGGCATGGGGTATAACCGAGAGCCCTGCTCGCTCCCCTGGGGTCTCGGGAACACGCTCCCACAATAAACACGTTTTTGCACCCGAGCCCCGTGTCACCATTTCGTCTGTTCCCGCGTGGACTGAGCCTCACAGAGCCGAAGGGGAAAGCGGCCGCCGTCTACCCAACCCCCACCCCCCGCCGTGCGTGCCCACAGGCGTCCGCCCGGAGCCGATCTCGCACGGCAACAGTGGTTGGGCACTGGCACAGGCTCTCCAGGGAAGTAGTCACAGCATCAGCCTGACAGAGCTCCAGAAGTGTTTGGTGAGCACTCTTGGGCACATAATGTGACTTTAGGATGTCCTGCACAAGGCCAGGAGTTAGACTTGATGAATCTTGTGGATCCCTTCCAAATCAGCTTATTCTGTGATTCTGTGAATTTCCATACTCATATTCCCTCCCCTTCAGAAAAATCTAACCCTTTAAAACTTTGACAAGCCCATTTTTAGGTGTCTGCTTCTGGTTCAGCAGAACCAGGTAACGAACGAGCAGAAACCAGCAAATTAGCACTTGACGCTGCCATGTTTAAATCCTGTTTGAGAGACACCGCCCTCACACCCGCCTGAAGCCATTCATAATACCTTTCTGATTTACCTTTAATTTCTGCACAAGGTGTTCGTTCACTTAACAGATCTAATTCCCCAGTTACAGAAAGATTGCCTCTCACATCTTCCATAAAAAAGATCAAAGAGATATTAACAGCCCAGACAGTGGTGCTGTACCAGAGTGGGCCTGCCCAAAAGGGTTGTCCATTGCCTGGGCATATGCACCTTCCCAGGGCTCCAACAAGCTCTAGCACAGCCCTGATCAGGCAGCTAACAGTGCTGTCTTATTTTATTTGGAGGGAAGGGAGAAGCTAATAGACCACTGTAGAAATGGCACAAAGGAAAAGGGGGCATGCTTGTTTTAATACTTTCATTAAGGAAAAGCATAGCATTACTGACTCATTAACTTTTCATTCAACGTCACGTATGCTTTTTAATTTATTAGAACCTTAATTTTTACCAAGTGGCTACACAAGCAATTGTTTTCCATTTTAGCTGAAGAAGGAGTTGTGATCGTTTTTTTGTGAACTCAAAGAAGAAAGTGAACATAAATTTGTTATACTATGTTCACCCAGAGCACAGATGTGATTGAGATTTTCAGCTTCCCCTGACACTGCATGCCTGCTGACATTGCACATGTAATCCAACATAAAAATTGATTTTTTATACAGAAAGCATTCTGTATAGCCAGTACCTGTATGTCTTGCAAAGCTTCAGAACTGATAGTCTATCTCAGCACACAATGCCGTAAACTTCCACAGTTTTCCAAAACTGCTCTTTTTAAAAAGAGCTTTTGCTGGTGATGCAAATTTCTTCAGGCTTGTGGTTTTGCACCACAACCAATATAACAAGAGAACATTGCCCTCTGGTGTCACAAGCTTTGTGCTTGGCAGGGCTCCCCACCTGCACTTTCTTACCCCTTTTCTACCTTCTCATTATTCACTGCACCGAGAGCCAGGCTGTGGTTCACAGGCATAAACCAGCAGAAGGTATGGAAAGGGATGTTTCCTTTTCAATGGGGAATTTTTTGCAGTCATGGAACAATTGCCATGGGTGTGAAAACAATCTTTCCAAAGTACTGAAAGCCAGAATTAGCTCCCTTCAGGTTGGGTGATGATGTTAGATCTTAAATTATTCCTTTTTTTTTTCTTTTTTTTGACCAGCTTATAAATTTATTTATTAATCCTCTTTATTAGGATATTTTTATTATTTTAAAGTGAATATTAGAATCAAAGCTATCAGAAGACTGAAGCTAAATTTGGTAGCTTATGCTACCAACTCCTTTACTATCATCAGAGTTTTTCTAATTATAACTGAGTTCTCCAGCCTGCACTTGGAGATATCTGAGTTCTGCCTAATTGCTCACGGGTTTGTCCCCAAGCACACTCCAGTATATTAGGACAAAGGAGTGGCAGAAAACAGCCAAATCAAATGCAAAGAAGCTAAATGACTACTTGGTGTTGGATGACAGTACCAAAAGAGAGAGAAGCATCATCATTTTTTAAGTAATTGGGGAAGGGACAGGAGGGGGTGCAGTGGGAGTAGCACAAAGCTTAGATTGATCTTCTTAGCCTTGCAGGCTCTGCTGTCAGATGGTTTGCACAAAGCAAAACAGCAAGGAAAAATGAGTTTTTTAAAAAAAAAAAAATTACCTCAACTCTTAAAGCCAAAGATTACTTTTCCACTCAAATATTTCAAGTGTTTAGTAAATGCCAATTTCAAAAAGATAGTGGCCACAAGTAATAGATCTTTCAAGCTAATTAGTCCATACAAAATATATGCACAGTCATTTTTTCTAAGGAGTCAGTGATGATTCCAACAGATGATCCACTAATTCCATCAGCTACTCGCAGCCACTCTGAAAACCACAAGGGACAGAAGTTTAAGGTACAGCCTTAAAACATAAGGTAGAGATTTGACAGCAGGGGCCCCAGATGGTGCTGCCTATTAGACAATTCCCTGGACGTTGTCTAATAATCATTTATCTTTTGCTCAGTGGGATCCTACATCTAGCTTTATCCTGATAATAGTCTAGGCTCAACTCCATGTAGGACCCCTCACAGACCATGGAAACATATCCAGGGATTATTTTTTCTCCTCTTACCCTAGATAGTGGAGGGATATGCTCCTCTCAGTACACTAACCAGAGATAAATAGATAATAAGATGAGAGCAGGCACACTCAGCTGTCTATGTAGTTTTTTATCTGTCTTATGGACTTCTCCCCAGATACACCAGACCAATTTTTGACCCAGGTTCTCCACTAGCTTCCAACCACTGAATTAAATCCTTACTGATAAACTGAACACAGAGATTTTCTTCCTGGCCATTTACAGGACTGTTAACTTTGAATTATTAACCAAGAAAACCCCTCATTTTTCTCTTAGAAGAAAATATAAATTGCCCTCTTGAAGAATTGAGGTCTCACATTATTTTTGTGCATCTCCTCATTTGCAGATGGCTTTTACAGAGGCTTTTGCTATGAGAAGGATTGAGAGAGGGGAAGTAGGAGGCTGAGGTCAGATATGATGTTTGATTTAGGAACTAGAGAATTAAAAAACAACACTGCAAAACTGAAATTTGAGAGGAACTTCAAGATAGGCTTCACCAAAAAAAATTACAGGGAAAAAAACCAAAAAAAGCATTTTCTCTTTTCAAAAGAAAATTACATGTAGATAAACAAGCTCTGAAAATTCTCTTGAGGTACTGAAGAGGGAAGGAGGGAGATAACTGTATAAAAAAAACTGGTGCTGAAACCAAATGCAGTCTTCAAGCACTGCTCTATGAAGCTATTTTTAAAAAATAGTAATAAAATGTGGTAAACATGTATTCTGTTGTGCTTTTAATGTCTTTGACAATGTCTGGCTATATCTCCCTTATTTAGAGCCAGCATAGTCTTTTGATGGATCTATACCTGACCAAACTAAGGCTGAATTTTACTTTTTCTTGCTATGTTACTTCTTGGTTTGTTCCTTCTATATTACTTCTTGGCTTCTTGACAGTTTGGAGGATTTGGCAGCAATGAAGCTAAAACTTGTGTCAGGCTACGTGCTTCAATCTGGGTGTGAAATTCAATGACCGTTTGAAATTCAGATTTTGCAGAGTCATGACATAAACAAATGTAGCATAGAAAGATATTCTCCATAGGAAGCTGTTCAGCAGACAGAGAGCAGACTGAAAAAGGCAGACTGAAGAAGAGTTACCTTACCAAAATTGATTGCAAGTTTACCACACCAGGGCCTAGGCATTAATTTTGCCCTTAAGATTTATTTGCAGTAAATCATGTCATGCATGCTCTCTGTGACAGGTCCATTTCTCTCTGTGGCTGATCCCATTTCTCTGCTTTTGCAAAACAAATATTAAAAAAAAAAACCAAACAAACAAAAAAAAAACCAAACAAATTATTTACATGTTACCTGCCAGGTGTTGTAGCCAACAAGCTTCTGAAAGGTGCTGATTTGTCCTACATGTCAGAGAGCCAATATTTTCCTATGTGCCAGTTTGTCTTGCCACCTACTTCATTAGTTAGAGTTATTTTTTAGGATTTCAAATAAATTCTTGCCACCTACTTCATTAGTTAGAGTTATTTTTTAGGATTTCAAATAAAGTCATGGGGATTATTACCTGCTCTCCCAAAAATCTACTGAACTGTCTTTTTGATTTTGATGCCATGAGTTCAGATCTATTGCTGCACCTCTGTTGGTGGCGTAGTAGACTTCAGCAAGTGATTTAAATTCTTGCCATATTGCTTTCCAAGGATGCTGTTAGAAAACACAATTGAGACCACACTGACTGGAAAGGTTTCTCCTTAGCTCCTGCATAGCTGTCTCTAGAGGCTGCTTAGTCAGTCTTTGCAAATTCCTGAATTTGCAAGTTACTGTTGACTGAAGAAGGCACTAGAGCCACTGTAAATTGAGGCAAACTGCAGACAAGCTAACTTTCCCTTCCCTCTCTTACCTTATTTACCAGATTAGAAATTTGCATACAAGCTTGCCTGGGAATAGGCATACTTGGGAAGAAAGTCTGCAGAAGAGAGCAGTATGCTTCAGGGGCAATAACACAATGAGGCTGATCCAGACCTCTGGCCCTGGAGGTGAAAGGAAGGATGAGTTCCTCAGACATCTACCTCAGCTGTCATCCATCTGCTTTTGGACTTTATGCACAGCTGTTGCAAAGATTTTAGAGGCACACACTGCCTCTTACACTTTACTGTAGCACCTAGCACAACACAGTGCAATCACTTTTAAGGCTTTAAGCAGCACTGCTACAAAAATGATTGTTGGTGAAAGGCAGATAATTAATTACTTTCCAGCATACCTTTCCCTAGTATAGCGTTCAATACAAGTATTGACTGGATTAATTTAATTTCAGAGTTGCAGAAGCAGCTTTATGGTTATTTTTTATTTTAGAGTTGATTTGTGTTTATCAAGACTTTATGCTAGACTAGGACTGTCTCTGGGATGCTTGGAAATGAACTTCAACCTTTTATTTGCATTCAGACCC